GTATCACATTCACCGCTTTCCCCATATCCACAGAGCCAGTTATCTCACCACAGAAGGCAATCAGGTTGGTCAGGCATGACTTGCCCTTGGTGAATCCACGTTGACTGTTCCTGATCACCTTCCTCTCCTCCAAGCGCTTCAAAATGGATTCTTTGAGGACTTGCTCCATGATTTTTCCGGGGACTGAGGTGAGGCTGACCGGTCTGTAGCTCCCCAGATTCTCCTTCTTCCCCTTTTTAAATATGGGCACTATATTTACCTTTTTCCAATTGTCCAGGACCTCCCCCAGTTGCCACGAGTTTTCAAAAACAATGGCCAATGGCTCTGCAATCCCATCAGCCAACTCCATCTGCACCCCTAGATGCATTAGATCTGGTCCCATGGACTTGTGCAGGTCCAGCTTTTCTAAACAGTGCTTAACCTGTTCTTTCACCACTGAGGGCTGCTCACATCCTTCCCATACTGTGCTGCCCAGTGCAGCAATCTGGGAGCCGACCTTGTCTGTGAAGACTGAGGCAAAAAAAGCACTGAGTACAGGGGAGTCGCATCTTACGTGGGGGTTAGGTTCTAAAGTCAGAGCGTAAGGTGAAAATCGCGTATAGTCAAACGCTCATTGAGTGGAATGGCGGGCGGAATCGCCCGCACTACAGGTACAGTAATTAAATTATTTTTCTCTTTTTTTAATTTGTTTTGCCGAGTGCACATAGTTAAAATCGCGTAAGTTAAATGCGCCTATGATGCGACTCCACTGTACTTCAGCTTTTTCCACATCATCTGTCACTAAGTTGCCTCCCCCATTCAGTAAGGGCCCCACACTTTCCCTGACCACCACCTTGTTGCTAACATACCTGTAGAAACCCTTCTTGTTACCCTTCACATCCCTTCCTAGCTGCAACTCCAGTTGTGCTTTGGCCTTCCCCATTACACCCCTGCATGTTCAAGCAATATTTTTATACTCCTCCCTAGTCATCTCTCCAAGTTTCCATTTCTTGTAACCTTCCTTTTTGTGTTTAAACTCACGGAAGAGTTCTCTGTTAATCCAAGCTGGTCGCCTGCCATATTTGATCTTCTTTCTGCACATCAGGATAGTTTGTTCCTGCAACCTCAATAAGAGCAAGACAATTAACTCCTGTATTTTACATGCACCCCACTCCTCTTAATTCACCCCAGTACATTAGATTTTTTTGCAACTCAGTTCCATTTGTGATCCACTATAGCCCCCAATCCTTTTCAGCAGTGCTACCACCTCGACAGTTATTTCCTATTTTGCAGGGTGGATAAAAATCAATGATTTAAAAAAAAAATCTGATTTTTTTATTTAAATCGTATTTTTTTTTAATAAAATACTTTTTGAGGAAAAAACCTAGATACCTTTGAGCTATCATGTATCTTAATTAAAACTATCTCATGATGGAATAGGGATTCTATAGTATGAGACAATATATTCATGTAATGTTTAAAAAAAGTTTTGTAAAT